GAGGGTGAGAACACAGGTAGAAAGCTGCTGAGAAGGAGTTATGGCAAGTATTTTAACAGAAAGTAGGAGAACTAAACTGATTTGAGGGTGAGAACACAGGTAGAAAGCTGCTGAGAAGGAGTTATCAACCAGGGCTATGTTGAGAACATTTGTGGCAGACTGTACAGAAAGCTATGGAGACTGGCATCCTGTATTCCCAAATGTCCTCACTGGATGTTTCTTTTGGAACAGATTAGAGACAAGGATAGATTTTGACAAGTCACTCTTACATTCTTCCCAGAAGTGTTGATACTTTGTTTTAGCCAATGATTAAGTAGCCTTGGGTGATGCTATTGCTAATACATTGTGTCACATGAGTATAAGTTTTACATTTGTCTGAATGTAAGAGCCCCTGCCACTAGAGAGAAGTCAATGCCATTATTAAAATCAGTTATACAGTCATACAAAATGCCATACACAATGGTAAGTTGCCTTGCAGGAAGTAACAAAGTGAAACACATTACATCTCCATCATTTAATGGTTTATTGAAGGAAGATTTAGTTTGCCTTTTTAAGTAAATCTTATAGCTAGCTACATAGAATTCCTGGACTCAGAAACAAATGACAAAGCTTTTGCTGTTTAGTTTGTATGACACAGAAAACCTGAAGTCAAACCACTCAGTAGCTAGAAGTCATTGTCACAGAGCTACATCAACAATTCCACCTGAAACAAAACCAATGATCAGTTGGACAGTATTTAAGGCTGGCAAATGTGACATTGATTAACACTTAACTATATACACCAGTAAGCTGCAATGTTTACACTGTAAAGTATCCATCAGCATGGAAGCAATGAACAGAAAAGATATCTTGTTGATAAGTTTGTAGAGAGACTCTTTAATTTCAATTACCAAACTCCAGCTCAGGCCTGGTGCTACTCTGGAAAAAACAACAACTATCTACCTATTTCTTCTGGTGTTGTGGATAGCATGACATCTATAGGGCAAAGTATGATCTGGTTGTGTCTGTGAAATTATAAAGGTACAATGTAGGGTTTTATTTGTTACAGTAGTCACTAAAGATCTTCCTTTATCTCACAATGTATCAGTCATTATTATATAAATCACCACTACATCTAGCAAACA